AGGGGGCAGTATAGTTAGATTATTGAAAAAAAGCAAGATTTTGGCAGTGGCTACTCAACATAACAGTAACTACGGCCTATTATTAATATTATTGCACTAAAACCTTGAAAAATCAAGAGAAACTAGATAGTATAGGATAGGAAAACATCAAAGCCTAGTCGGTAACTTACTTTATTTTAGAATCGAATGGCATCGCTGTTTGGTTGGTGCTTTAAGTAGGTATATTTGATTTAAGTGATTTAGTCAATGGTTTTGCTATAAGTTGTAATATAAAACGAAGTCCCCATCAGAAATAAAATTTATCTTAGTCTAACCAGCATGAAAAAAGGATTTGAATCCATAACCCTATTTATAAAAGTAGACTTAATTGATATCATCGAAAGCCATTCAATTAATTTTAGTAACAAATATGAGCTTCCCTTATAACGCCAGTAAAACTATAATTCTTTATTTGAAAATGACTTTTTTACTTGAAACTCCCATACATCCTGTGGCTTACTGTCCTTCAAACTGTATACAATAAAAGAGCTCAAAATTAAGTATTTGGTCTTTAAAATAAGTCTTCTCAGATAGGGAGAGCGCTGTCAACTCTAAAATAATCCTATTTTTGAATGCAGCGCAAATATAACTTCTTTTTTTAGATCGTGAGTGTACATAAAAGTTAGTCCAAGTTTAACCATTTAAGTAATGTTAATGAACCCACTACTGATAGTCTTGAGTGCAACTTGAACAGGTATATCTTATATCTATTTTAGGAAATTTAAAATAACTCACGTTATTTTTATTGTTAGTTAAATGAATAAATGGCTTCGGGATAATAAACTCACTGTAATTTTACGTAAATTGTTAATACATCTCTAGGTTAAATTTGAAATGACAGTCGACCTAAGAACTGTACTATTTACTTAGTCACTGAAATTGTTGGGAAAAGAAGGCTTTCCACTCACCAAATTTCAGCATCTTTTGGTCCAAATTTGAAAGGAAGTAGTCCATAGATAGAACAGAAAGAATAAACACATCATAAGGGATATAAGTGCCTTTGAAAAGAAAGGCCGATATTAAATGACAGGATGCTGAACTTTTCCTTTCCTATCTCTCCTTACTTTGTGCCTCCTAGCATTATATCTCCTTCCAAATTCCCACTTTCTCATTTTCCCTCCATTCCGCAGTCTTTTCTTTTATTCATTAAAGGTAATTTGCTCAATCAAATTAGGTTGAGAATGGTAATATGATTATGCGCCTACTCACATCCTTGCTGGTTGCAAGGGTAAACTAAGGCTTTCAGGATGATGGATATTTTTCTAGCAGCCATCCGTACTAGGCCAACTGGAACGTAAAGTTAGCCAAAAAAATTTGGTCAACGTAGAATTATTTTTGCTGAAAAAAGAGAGGCACTTTGGAAAGGATGAAGTCATAAACCTACGGAACATGGCATTTCAGCAAAGACTGGTAAAAATTACTCATGAGGCGTGTTCTAATAAAAAGACGACTTTGCTGGAAGTGACGTAAATTTTCACTGTTTCTCTTTCTAGTGACACTCATTCCTGTTGTGAGTGTGTATTCGAGTAAATTAGGCTCTGATAATGGTGCCTATTGAGATATCTCAATTGTAAATTGCATTATTGTGCCAAATTGCTATCGATATTATGATTCACTTACGTCTGTTTTGCCAACATTTGATTTAGCTGGACGTGGTAACTTGGCCCATTTAAGTTGTGATACATTCATTTAAGCTTGGCTGCATCGGGTCAGTGCATACAATTTTGCAATAGGTGGATTTTAGTGTGTAAATTAATGCCAGCTGTCACCAAAGATGAGAGGGATGACAGTAAGAGTTGTGTGATTTTATGGGCGATTCATTGCAAATCTATTTAATGCTGTCCATATTTGCAGCTGTACTAATCTCTAGAGCCGTTTTTCCTGAGGAAATAAGGCCAGGCATACAGGAAGACATTTGTACATACTGGAAACCTAACGTTTTTATTGTGAGGCCTGGATGACGAAATAGAGGTAAGATAGCTGAGTATCGTTTTTTAGTTGTCGGATTCATTGGTTAGCAGAATATATAAATGTGGATAACACGAAGATGCTATAGACGTCCACGAACAAGCAAATCCAAATGATTGAATTATACTCAGCCCAAAAAGGTGTGAATTGTACGCTATTTCAGAGAGCTAGAATATGAATTCCCTTCGGGCATGACCATGTCGCCTTGACCTGCATTAGGGAAAGTTTATCAGCCTATTTTTACCTCCCAATTTCAAGATACCTCGGCAGAATTAATTTGCAAATGTGTATTTTGCTATTTTTAAGAGCTATTCTAATCGAATAAATATAGCTTAAAAGCACACCTTAGCTTGATGTAGGCCTAAATCTTGAGAGTCTATATTGCAATTATGTGATGAGATGACTTCTTAGTCGGCTGATTTATTAGGCCCGCATTGTTCTTGAAATTGTTGCCTTAAGCATAAGCATGAACATACAAACCACCACTTGATACATTAAAGCTCTCAAAAGTTTCGTAGCCTCCAGGCCATGTTTGATCTATTTCCTGCACAGTATTAAAGTAAATGAAATATTATATAATCTAGCAAGTAAACATCTTTTCTTATTTTGACCCTAAAATATCATTAAAACTCCTTCTTGGAAAGGTTATGTTTAGGATAAAGCAAACTTCTTAGCGCAACTTCATCTAACGAAAAAGATCTAGGGACTATATAAATTACTTTTTGGTTATTGCTAGAGGCACAGATCAAAAGCCATAGAGATAGTCACCTTATAAAATTTATGACCCTAACCACAACAATATCTTACAAAACGAATCAGACCACTCCTGATGTGGCTTGGAAAAATAAACTGAATAGGATGACTGCTCATCTTATATTTCTTATGTGAACTTTCCGTTTAAGAGTTATATTATAAACTAAAATTTTTTAGTTTTACTCACAGCAATGTACCTAAACCCAACTAGGTTGCGCGTTATTATTTTTTTTAATGTCTGTCCAATAGATACTCTAGTCATTATTTGTAAGATGTCCTAAACGTCATAACGGAATATAAATAGATTAATTTATATATATATATATATTCAGAAAGAGGAAGCACTATAAAGTAAAGCAATAATTAAA